TATGTGTATAAAATAGAAATACACATTTCTCAAGAGTATACAGAATAGTTACCTGAATTGAGCACATGATGGGTTATACATCACAACTCAGTAAATTTTAAAAGATTGAAAACCATAAAGATATACACTCTATCCATACTATGTATAAGTTATAAATAATCAAGTTACCTCTTTAAAAGTAACAGTCCATTGGTGACTTCGTAATAATTTTTCTGTGAGGTTTTGCCATTTGAGCTGTTTACCTAGAGTATGTACATTTATCTTATGCATTCCCTACTTAACAGTTTATTTGACAAGATATACAACATATTTTAAAATTCTAAGATCAAATTGAAAAATAAGTACACCAAAAGAGAGGAAATCCTACGGGTGCTACCATACCAGGAAAAGCCTCTCTGAGAGAGAACATTTAAGGAGAAGCTTCAAAATGAGATACAAGCAAGCTTTGTGTGGTTTCAAGGAGGAATGCCCCAAAAGAGGGAGAGAGGGGATGAAAACTGTAAAAGTGCTAAGGTGAGAACATACTTTGTAGTTTAAAGGGTAATAAAAGGAGAATGTACCTAGAAGGCAGTGTGCATGGGGAAAGTGTGAGGACAGGAAGTTCCAGTATTTGGTGACGTAGGGTCCTGTAGACCAAAGGAGAGATTCGGTTATATTCATAATGAGATGGGAAGCCAGATGGAAATCTTGATCAGGCAAAGTGACGATGACACATGGATTTCAAAAATAATCATTCTGAGTCCTGGGTAGGAAACAGAGAGTAGAAGACAGAAGAGTAAAATGGAAGCAGAGAGAGTGCTTAGGAGGCATTTCAGCCACCAAGATCCATTCCCTTTTGAAAACATCAAGGTGATGTTTCCCAGATTGCATTTCTACTTCCTTACTTACAGCACTGAGAATGATTCCAAATATTTCCACTGCTTGAAAGTTATTAACTTTCCCAACTGACCTTCCATTTTCACTTTTAAAAAGATTTCTTAATGATAAAATTCCAAGTAAAAGCCAAACATATGACTTATATTAAAATATGACATATTAAGATATTCAAATTTTAGTCAATTTATGGAATTTACTTTGAATCACTTGTATGACACTTTTCAAAAATCTTTCATGGATTTGACATGTTTAGTCAATAAACTTACCTTCGCTGTTGGAATCTTTATGTTTTTGTTTTCCAGATATAAAGAGAATGCTATGAAATTATCAAGAATTCAACATGATCAGCCAGTGAAGCCCCTGGATCGAGCAGTTTTCTGGATCGAGTTCGTCATGCGCCACAAAGGAGCCAAACACCTTCGGGTTGCAGCCCACGACCTCACCTGGTTCCAGTACCACTCTCTGGATGTGATTGGGTTCCTGCTGGCCTGTGTGGCAACTGTTGTGTTCATCATCACAAAATGTTGTCTGTTTTTTTGCCGGATGTTTGCTACAGCAGGAAAGAAGGAAAAAAAGGAGTAATTAGACCTAGGCCTGATCATGCAATAATAAAGAAATGTCCCATGGAAGAAGGGGACCCAAGTCCTGGCGGATGTGCGAGACTTTAGGTGATCTAATGTACCTGTTGAAGAACAGGGAAAAATGAAAATGTTGCTCTTTTCACTGATCTTTCTTTAGTTAATTTGTTCTATGTATCAGATGGAGATACAAGTCCTTAGTGCGATTTTCCTGGATTATTTTCTCTTCTCCTGATCTGTCTCACAGCTGGGTTTGTCATCCTAGAGCTCAGTTGGTGAAAGTATTGTCATCTGTGATGTCTGAATTTGCAGAAGATGGTTTCTCGCATCACCTACAGGGTACAATAAATAGCTCCACACTCAGAGAAGTCATGTCTTCTTCTTGCCCCTCCCACTATCTGATGTTACATACCAGGTGACAGCAAGGACCCACAATCATACTAGTGTCTTAGACACGAAGTGGGGTAAAATCTCTCTTTTCAGGTGTAATCTTTTTCACCTTGTCAATCCTCATGTTTGTAGTTGTTCCTTATGCCATTTGTCACTTGGCCAATTGTGGTATTCTTTATTTTTATAAATCTATGGTCAAAGCTTTGCAATTACATAAATAAACATAAACCTTTCATCTAAAACATCACTCCAATTTCACAGGAAGTAGGTTGATGACTACGTCACCCCTCCTCCCATAGATACGGATGGATATATTTGACAGTAGGGAATATGTAACAGGGAAAGACCGAGAACAGTTGAAATGTGTTGCAACGGGTCTCTTTAAAACCTCCCCCACTCTTTTTGAGAATTAAAACCTCCATGCCTGCCCCAGGCCAGTAGTCAGGAGGGGCAGGGAAGTGTCCTTTTTTTTTTTGTACTACAGGACTTGGCTCTATGGAAATGGCCCAGGAGAGGTCACGAGATTGTCTTTGCTCGAGATGGGATTGATAATAGCAATCAACTGTAGTTAAATAGCCATACCTTGAAGATGAATACCCTCCCTTTAAAAGCTCTGTATGTCTCCTAATACAGAGGAAACTGACATTGAAAAACAAGAGCCTCCATCCTCCTCATTTGCCAGCAAATTAATAAACCTCCCTCTCCTTCTCTTCAGAACCCTGTCCTCGTTCTTCTGATGCAGTCGGGCACAAGTATTGAACTTCTGGTAACACTCATAGTCCCAACTAATCTGAAAGCATAGGCTGGAAGATCAGTTAAGACAAGGATTTCAAGTCCGGCTTGGGCAACATAGGGAAATACGCACCCGAAAGAATAAAAAAGAAATAAATTTAAAAGAAATAGCTGAACCAATCTTAAAATAAAGAAGTAAAGTGGAAGAAACACTTCCTACTTTCAAAGACAAATGCAAATCTATGATAACCAAGAGAGTGTGGTAGTGTGTGGTACAGGCATGCAGATAAACATATAGATCAATGAAATCAGATGACATCAGTTTTGGAATCCAAATATATATTCACGGATTCATGCTCTGTTTTTTGTTGCTTTTCTTTCTTTTTTTTTTTTTTTTTTGAGGCAGAGTCTGGCTCTGTTGGCCAGGCTGGAGGACAGTGGCACCAACAGAGCTCATTGCAACCTATAATTCCTAGACTCACGCAATCCTCCCACCTCAGCCTACCAAGTAGATAAGACTAAAGGTGCGTGTCACCATGCCTGGCTAATTTTTTCTTTGTTTTATGGAGACATGGTCTCGCTGTGCATCCCAGTCTGGTCTGGAAGTTCTGTACTCAAGCGATCCTCCTGCCTCAGCCTCCAAAAGTGCTGGGATTATAGGTCTGAGCCACCATGCCAACCCACATTTATGCTTTTGGACAAGAGTGACAAAATAATTTAATGGAAAAACAACAGACGATTTAACAAATGCTGGTTAGAACACTGATTATCCACATACAAAAGAATAAAGTTGAGCAACCTACCTCAAGTTCTCAAAATAGATCAAAAACTTGTTTAAGGGCTAGCACTACAAAACTCTAAAAATGAAACATAAAGATTAATCTTTGTGACCTTAGATTTGCTGTTAGTTTCTTAGATATGGCACCAAAAGCAAAAGCAATCAAATTACAATAGATAAATTTGACTTCATCAAAATAAGCACTTTTAGGATTCCAAGGACACCATCAACAGGTGAAAGGAAAACAACCAGAACTGGGCAAAATACTTGCAAATTATATCCCTAATGAGGAACTATTATAAAAATATATTTAAAAAAATACAACTCAATAATTAGACAAATAAGCCAATCAAACATGGGCTAAGGTTTGAATAAAAATTTCTGTGAAGAAAAGATATACAAACAGCTGAAAGGCACAAGAGAAAAAGCTCAACACCTTTAGAAAATAATGAGATATCACTTCACTGCCACTGGCTATAATCAAAAGATATATAACAAAATGTTCTTGCAGGGAGGTGGAGAAATTGAAAGCCTCATAGATGGCTAGTGGAATGGAAAATGGTGGAGCCAATGTGCGAAACAGTCCAGCAATTCCTCAAAAGCGTAAACATCCAGGTAGCATACGGCCCAGTAATTCTAATTCTAGGCAAATACTCAAGAGAAATCAAAACATGTCCACACAAAGCATGTACATGAATGTTAATAAGCAATAATAAACACTATAACAATGTTAACAAAAAATAAACATTCATGTTTACTAAAAATATTAACAGAAGTGTCTATGGCTTTTACAAAAGCCAAAAATTGAACAAAATCAATGTCTGTCAAATGATAAAAGAATAAATAAAATGTTTATATCCATATGATAGCATATTACTTGGCAATAAAAAGGAATAAAGTCCCCATATAAGGGACACCATGCATGATCCTTTTTAAATATTATGCTAGGTGAAAAATGCAACTCATGAAGGACCACATAGTTATGATTCCATTTATCAAACTGTAGAGAAAATGAAAATTTATAGACACAGAAATTAGATTAATGGTGCCTTAGGGTTGGGGATGGAGAAACGCAGGGTGGGGAGATAAAAAGTCACGGGCACAGGGATTCTTTTAGGGAGATAAAACTATTTGTTGTAGTGGATGAGCAGTTCTATCAACACATTTGGGAAACACTAAATTTTAAACAATAATGGTGAATCATATGGAATATACATTACCTATCAAAAAGTTTTACTAAAACAAATATTTGATCCATCATATTCAAGAAATAGCGACTCAGTTACACAATTGAGTTATTTCTACATCTGTGTCAAGGGACTGCACACCAAGGAGCCTCTCACCTGTCACAATATTTGACATTATTCTAAAATATATTACATAAAACAGATTGCTTACTCATGCAAGATCATCAAAATTAGCTGGAATAAAGCATTTATAAACATCAAAGGGACATTGAACACACTTGAGTAAATACGACCTCATCTAACTTTGATATGTCCACTTGCCATCCACATGCTCAGATTGTTCAGTAATGTACTTACTTTTAAGCGTAGGAGTTAAATTTTAACTTGATTGATTTATGCTTGGATATAAGCATGAGAAAGGGCAGAGAGAAAAGGAATTTGAAAAGAAGCATTGCACTGCACCAGGATGGGTCTACGATGGACTTCAGTTCTTCTGCTGATGCAGCTGAGCGGTTACTTTAGCTCGGGGACTTGTGGAAAAGTGCTGGTGTGGCCCACAGAATACAGCCACTGGAGGAATATGAAGATAATCCTGGATGAACTTGTCCAGAGAGGACACGAGGTGACTGTACTGGCATCTTCAGCGTCTGTTGTTATTGATCCCAGCAAAACATCTGCTATTAAATTTGAAGTTTATCCTACATCTTTAAGTAAAGATGACTTTGACGGTTTTTTAATGAAACTGCTTGATAGAGCAATATATGATCTTCCAAAAGACACATTTTGGTCACAGATTTCACAAACAGAAGAAATCATTTTGGGATTTTCTGCACTTATGAGACAGCTTTGTAAAGATGCAGTTTTAAACAAGAAACTTATGACAAAGCTACAAGAGTCAAAGTTTGATGTCCTTCTTGCAGATGGCGTTGGTTTCTGTGCTGACCTGCTGGCTGAGATACTTAAAACGCCACTTGTGTACAGTCTCCGCTGCTCTTCTGGCTACACATTTGAGAAGCATGGTGGAGGACTTCTATTCCCTCCTTCCTATGTACCTGTAGTTATGTCAGAATTAAGTGATCGAATGACATTCATGGAGAGGGTAAAAAATATGATATATGTGCTTTATTTTGACTGTTGTTTCCAAGGATATGATATGAAGAAGTGGGATCAGTTGTACCTTGACGTACTAGGTGAGTTATATTTTTAATTGGTGGTTATTAATTCCTACTTTTCCTTGTACCTTGGAAGGCGAGCTTGTATGAATATGAAGTCAGAAGAGAACATGTTTAGTAAATTCAAATATAAAACGAAAAGATAGATGATCTATCAATCTCACAAATATTAGGAAAGATTATAGGATCATTTAGAACCTTGTGCCTAAAATTGATACAGGAAACTCCATGAACTCATAAATATACAAGCTAAGACAGTTAGGATTTTTTAAACAATCTCATACCTACTATACATTATTTTCATGTCTAATGCAAGTTAATAGATGCATCAAGAAACAGCTTGATGAAGGTAGATGTGTAGATTGAGGAGTTATAAATTTTTCTAGTGCGACGATCAATGTAGCATTGAAGAATTTCTTTCTCATTGAATACCTTAATTTTCCTATTTCGAAATTAAAAATTTTTTTCTATATAACCAGAAGAATTTCTTCACAGTTGAGAGATGGTTCTATCGCAGAAATGGATATCTAAAAT